AAAAAACTTAACACAATTTAATACATATATATTAATAAATAATTTCAATTGCATGAAATATCGTAACCTACAAAAATTGTAACGAAAAAACAAAAAAAAAAAAACAAAAAAAAATGGATTCGGTGTATTACATTTAAAAATACAACAAAATGTTTTGCTGAATTTTAAATTGAAATAACAAATAATCAATCGTTTAAAAAAAAAAAAAAAAAAAAAAAAAAAACAATTTATTATTATGACAATGTTTATAATAATGAGTGAACGATTAAAGATACGGTAAATTAAATGAATAGAAAGATGATTATAAACGTCCATCGAAAATTCGTCACACTTTGAAACGATCCTTTCGACGAGGTCTCTTTGTTTCTCTTCCATCTCGTTTATATTTACAGTAGTAGTTGTATTAGTGAGTCTCTCTCACTCTAACCTTTTTCTTTTAACTTTTTCTCTCTCTCTCTCTCTCTTATTTAATGTTTTATAGATTTCAGAATATACAGCGAGAGCGGCATCCTTTTGCTCCCCCTTATAGAAAATTTTACAAAGTCATCCGGGTTTTAAGTCTTCCATGCCAACAGACGATTTTCGAGGGTTCTCTTTTTAAGTTTCATCTTTTGTTCAAACATTTTATACACAACACAACACGTTATTTTCAAAATGAAACTATACTATACTCGTTAACTGTTTGAAAAAAAAAAAAAAAGAAAAAGGAATGATTTTTCATAGTTTTTAGGTTAGTTTTAAATTTACTGTGAAAATTCGAAACCCCTCCTCATTCTTTTCTTTAAAAGAAAACCATGTTGGTTATGGTCAATTAAAACCGTAGAAGAAAAAAAGAAACACATTTGTAAATGCATATACAACACATTGTTATACTGATCCATCATAAATCAAGAAATTTAAGAAGGTTCAAAGTTTGTAGCCGAGTAATACGAGTCACACGAAAAAGTTCGAGCCCTTTTTTTTTTTCAAACCTCAATAGTATCCTCTAATCCCCACCCCTTCACCCTCAGTCATATTTTTGAGGAATGAGGAAATAAGATCATCAAGTTTCGATGAAAGTGACGATGAAGTTGACAATGATGTTGAACAAAAAAAAAAGAAATGGGCAAAATGAGACCAAAGAAAAAAAAATAGAAAACTAGACTCAAAAAATAGAAGAAGAAGAAGAAAAAAGTCTAAAAGTAAAATTAGTGACGCTCCTGTCGGCATGCTTTTTTAAGTGTCCCGCTTAAATTTTTGTTGCATTTTAAAATCTTCTTTTTCTTCTTGTTCTTCGAATGACTTGGCTCGTTCACGCAAAGATAGGCGCCCTGGCCACACCTAGGGCGCCACTACGACGACTACGAACGATTTTATTTTTTTTTAATTTTCTTCTTTTAACCTTCCTCCTACATTTTATTATTTCATCCCGTGTGTTGTTCCGTTAATCATTTGAATTGAAAAGTTTAAAGGTTTAATGAGAAACATTACTTTCATCACCTAATATTGGGTTGCCCTGAGTATCATTTCATTTTTCATTAGTAAAAATGAAAACAATAATACAATTTTCACTTCGAGGTTAAACCTAGTAGACCTTTCGAGTTAACATAAACAATGAAATTTATTTAATTAAACCTTTCATTGATCTCAGGTGTTGGTTTTTTTTTGGCAAGGGTGGAATCAAATGCAAGGGGGAATCAAACTTGTGTTAGGAAATAAACAAAATTACTTTCCGAACTAATCCAATATTTCCAAGAAAATGTTCATTTGATTTCTTTTCTTTTATTTTTTTTTTTTATTTTTAAATGATTGTTTATAACATTGTGTTAGTTAGGTTGGTTTAATTGTAAATAAAAGGAAGCCGCTTTTAGTAGCGATTTCAAAAAACGTCAGACAAGATAGAAAGCACCATCGAGCTACCGCATAATACTCTAGAATTACGAGTCACGTCCCGGGGGCAGGATCCTCTCTCACGCATACAAGAGAGAAAGAGAGAGAGAATATACGTATGTATATGTGTACATGTGTGAGATAAAGAAAGAAAGAGAGAGAGAGAGAGAGAAAGAGATAGAAAGAGATACATAGTTGAACGATGCAGTTTGCGACGCGCGAAAGCTGGCCCGGTGTATAAAACATATCTTTGTTGCATACTTCTATATATGTGTGTATATGTGTATAAGTTTGTGTGTAAATAAGAGAGTCAAGAGATCGAGATTACGTGTAGGATACACAACATCCACTCTCGTAAACGTATCTTCTCTCGTGTAAGCTCGAAACTGAGTGTTTTGGATTTAGTTTTGGATTTAATGTTAAATGAGTTCACTGTGAAAGATTTATTTATTTATTTATTTATTTATTTATTTCGTGGAAATGTGGGATGATAGGAAATTAATTAAATTGTATAAATATGTTAGTAGTAATGTGTTTATATAATATTTTATTTATTTTATTTTTATTATTTTTTTTATATAATTTTATTTTATTGTTAAAAGATCAGGGTAAGGATCATTTATATTTATTATAAAAATTGTGAATAACAGGAAATGAATTAAATCAAATAATAAATAATTAAATTCATAAGTTAAATATAAATATTTCAATTAATAATATTGAATTTTTTTTCATTTATTAATATTTAATAATTTAATATCAATTAATAGATTATATTTAATAATATTATACATAATATATTTTAATTAAATATAAAAAAAAAAAAATAAATTAAATAAATATTTTAATATAAAATTAAATTAATCAATAAAAATATGTTGAATTAATATATGTTTTAATTATTTTCTATTATCAAAAAAAAAAAAGAAAAAAAACCATTAAAAAATCATTGTCATTTTCCCTACAATCTTAAAGAAAAATAAAATAAATAAAATTCAAATAAATAATCATTCAATGTATAACACATTTGCCATATTTTTATAATATTTTTTGTTTTGTTCATATTCCTCAATAAAAAAAATAATAATGTCGAAGCTTAGAATGAGATCTTATAAATATATATATATATATATATATATACATACACATGTAATAGGAAAGTATACCAACGGCCCCACAAAGTCGCTTAGGCGAACGTGACTGCACCGTAATTTTCTGTAGGGAAAATATGAACCTTTCACATGGGTTTTGCGCTCGTTAGGTGGCATCGGTCGTTAGACC